TAAATTTGCAGATGAAGAATACTACATCAATGAATAGCATAAGTTAATTACCATACAACCAATATTACATGGTTAATAAATTTCATAAATGATAATCATTCTTATTGGTGAATGTAAATTCCTTCAAAATTTGTATGCCACACAAAACACTACTGGCCTGGTCAAAAACCACACAGTTTAGAGGATTACTTTTCTTTTAAAAATCTACTGTTTAGTGAAACTACGTTAGCCACTTTTGGGCTGGTTTAACTAAACATTTTGCAAAATTCTACAGGCAGTATATGTGACATAAGTACTGTACAGTATATGACTTGTACAGTCTGGGCTTATACCTGTTCATTTATTAGTGTGGAGTAAATTTCTTCACTTTGTCCTCCAGAACGTTCACTCTAATAATAATTTTAATTATCACATAATGATTAAAAGATGTTTCAATACATACTGCATTGGGTACATATAGTGCTGCTTCCTCCAATAGTCCATACAGTTCATTAAAAACTGATGCATTCTGTTAGGAAACAAAGTACAAAAACATACACTGAAAGTGATTCATACATAACATGTTCGTGATTGTTTCTTGATGTTTGTGTAGCAATGCTGAAGAACTAATAATGTACATTGTATATAAATATAACTACTAATAATGTATAATATAATTATATACAATGTACATTATTAGTTCTTCAGCAATACTACATTTGTGTTATTTGATAAATGTTTACAGTAAGATTACTTTCTGTTTCATAATGACATCTACTGGTTCTTCGTATCCTGATGGCACAGTACCTAAATTATTATTATTATTATTACTTGATGCATTAAAACATATAGTGTTACCTTTTTGTCCATACATTGGATTACCAACATTAGTCATTGCACTTGTGTCACTATAAACTGCTTCTATTCCATCCATTACTGGTATTGGTTCTTCATATAGGACTGGATAATAGACAAAGCCAGTAATATACATAATAAATAATAATAATAAAACTACCTTGGTAATTTGGATTGCTCATATTTCTCAGATCTCTACCATTTGGTGTGACATCAGAATAAACAGAATTAACAAGTAAGGCACGGCGACCTCTAAAAGTCAACGTTGCTTTACTTCTTCTTTTATATGCTATTGTTATCAATATTAATATCACCATAACACTAACTATCAGTAATACTAATACTGTAGCAACAACAGCAGCTATT